AGCAATGGACAAAGATATGCCTGGACTAAGACACAAAATTTAACCCCCACTAAGCACATATCAAATTTTACCAGTAAAAAAAAGCAGCCTTTTCAAATAAAACATATACATCTAAAACATTACTTTAAATAAGCCCTCCTGTCTTTTAAAGTAATTATTTTATGAATATGTGCAACAAAATTTAATATTATGTGTATGGATTTTTTTTTTACTCCTTAACTTCATACATAATATAGGGGTTGGCTCACTAAACACACCTATTGTATAGCATACACAGCATTGAGTATGTACACATTACAGTCATCTAATGTTCAAATGTTCATCCATTATTGGTTCGTAATTCCTCTTTCATTCTGAAATTAAGCTTTTTAAAGGAATGCCACATATTTGTAAGAAAGATAACTTCATGGGGTAATGATAACATCATTTTCAACAGAATTATGATGTTTTTTAGCTTATGTGAAATACAGAAGAAACAAATCAACTTTTCAATACTCCTACAACCTTCACAGTACCTTATTTAGTATTCTACAAAAAGTTTTGGTGCAATATACCAAGTCATTTTTGTTGTAGGCTGGCAAGACAATAATAATAATAGAAGAAGAATTACAAGCGGGCTGTTTGGAGAGGATTTTTTTTTCCTGTACGTCTAACATGGGTGCTTGTATTGTGCATTTTTATGTTTGTAGAACCTTAGCAGTCAATAGTAAAGGTTTTAAAGTGTTGTTTGAACTGCATCTTTACTGTTGAAGGTGCTTTTTGCCTGAACGTTCTATTACAGTTTTGTGCAATTCCTTGCGATCCCTATTATGAACAACATTGTGGTTCATGATACATATGTTTTTAATTTAGTTTACAAAATAACATTCACTAGCCTACAACAGCTGCTGATATTCCAGACACAAAAATAGTATTGATACTATTTCTTTTTTTTTAAAAAAAGGACTTTTCCTTGCACTGAACATTGAAGAAAAGAAACTATCTTTACCTAACTCTATTTCTACATACAAATTTTCCAACAATTATTTAGCAGTCTACTGCCTATAAACAAGGACAAGAGGGAGAAATAGGATGATAGAAGGCTTATGAGTACACAAGGTCTCCAAATCATCATATATAAAAAAGTTACCTTGCATGAATTTCTGGTGTTCCATTATTATATTTACTTCCTCTTTCCCACATGCCATAATCTGGGGTCCGATATGCCCTTTCAACATAATACACTAAATTCTGAACAAAATGTACTTCATCCATAGTGTAGATAATCTAAAAAAATTAAAAAGTACAATTTTTAACACACACACAATCTATCCATATCCCACTATCAAAACTAATATGTCATTTATGAAGGTACAGTACAAACTAAAACACTTAAATTAATATGTCTGAGAGCAAATGTTATGTTAAGTAATGGTTGAAATTACTATATCATCCACACAAATTAACAATGATTTCACAGTACATAAGAACTAAATTTAATCAAGTATAGGTTAGTTCTCTCCATACATGCTCAGTTCTTTTAATAAACCTTGCATCATGTGAACACAAGGTAACCATGAAAGTATACATTATAAGTGTTTTGTGCTAAAAAAAACAACACATTTTTAATTAAGTATTTTACTAGAGTTCTGTAAATTATTGAGTCATAGTGTGACTTTGACTAGTCTGAGTTCAAGATGATTTTCATGTTAAGATTAAAAATACCTTTTTACGTTTTACAGTTTTCAAATTTAACTTACATAACTTCTCGAAATGCATATCAAAATTTTTTTAAGTAAAATTCTATATTTTATCTGTTATTTTCTCTACCCTAACACTATATGGACTGTTAATTTGACAGGTCTTGTAACCATCACAACAAAACAAAATAAATCTAATTATCCCCCTTTTTTTCTAGAATGACTGGAGATAATAAAAGAAAGTTACAATTATTTATCCTAAACAGCACCAGGTTTATAATACGTTCTTATTTGACTTTATTGTTCTATTGCTCTTTGAACCACATCTAACTAATAAACCTGAAATAAGCCATAAATAACATGTAGCCCAATTATGGTATTGAATGATGTAAAGCACAAGTTACTCATGAGCAAACTTCATGGATAAATTTTTTTCATTATCTAACCAAACAAGATTCTAATTTTTTTAGATTTCAGTCACATTTAAAAATAAAAAATATACACAAAAAATATGAAATTTAGTACTTACGTTAGGCCTATTGTTTTCTTACCTTTAGCCCTCCAACAAAACTTAACCATAGATCCTTGTAATAATATTACTAGTAGCTAAAATAATTTTTATGTACTTGAAATATGCACTTAACACAAAATAATAACATTCATGATGAAACAATGTCCTATAACTATTATAATTTAACTGGCTTTCTAACTAAGGTACAAGTAGCTTTAGAATAATTACCGTAACTGTTAACTTTGAACTTTACAATAGCTACATTGAATCTGTAGGTGAAATAACAAATTTCTACTGAGAACAAGATCGCATTATACATCATTCTATTAAGTTAAATTAAAACTTTGTCTTTCTATTGGTTATAAATTATGTAATAGGAAACAGAGAAAATTACTGGAATATGTGAACGAGAAGACGTAGTAAGTGGCTTTGACTTTCTTGTTTATATCTCCATAAACAAAAATGATTTAAGGTTGTAAAATTTAGACTATGCTCCAGTAATATCTATACTATAATGAGTAATTTACATTAAGCTTAAGATATCATAGAGGGATGATGAAAAATAGAAAGCGAGTAAGTCAAAGTTAGCAAATGTTACATTACTCAGACAAGCAGAGATTGAGAATTTATTTTGAAATTAAGAAATTATATATATATTAAAATTTCACTTATTATCTATTTATGATGCCATGTATATTTGTATAAGTTGATAATAAAACAGTTTGATTGTATATTGATTGTAACTTTGTAAAAGTTGTGGCCTGCACACTTTGACCTACCTGTACCAAGACAGTTTAATATATTTCCAATCTAATTAAAAGTTCATTAAAAAATTATTCACAAGTGTCAATTGAAAGAACTTAAAAAAAAGTTTTTGTTCCTCAAGGTTTTGCAAACTGTGTTCAGATTCAGATGAAGTCTTTGACCTATAAATTAATCATTTAATGTAAAAAATAGAGGTTTAAAATATAACAATGAATTTAAATCCACACAAGATGAAATAAATACTTTTTTTTATCTATTACTATTATTTGAGAATTATATCTGATAATATAATGAAATTTACAAGATAAATTGATAAAAGTTAACTTGAGATTATTAAATTCACTGTTTAGAATTACCTGAAGCCCAGAGTTGATCATTTGAACTAGGAAAAGCAAGAAGAGGGAAACAATATCAATCTGTAACATGAAAAAATATCTAATTTTATAGACAGCTGGAGAGTATGGCTTACAACTTATTGAGAATTTATAATAAAGCCTTTCCAGTGATCTAAGTATCTCTATATGTAATATCAATATATTGTTAAAATAACTCCAAAACAACTTATCAATCAAATGCATCAATCAAGTAAGACAATGCATCTCAGATGTTGAAAGTCAGGATCATACATTATTAAAATAGAGTTTGCTAAACCTCTGTAAAGTTCAGAATCAATATATTGGCTTCCTTTTTTTTTGGGGGGGTGGGGTGTTGTTTTTGAAAGTGCTGATTTTAAGTGGTTAAACTGTGTGCTTTCTTGAAATTAGTTATATAAACAATTTATTGGATAAAAGGACATAAAAAATTTATAATAAATAATACAAAGGAGGACTGGCAAAATCAGTGACCAAAAGTTAATATCAGAATTTGTATTAAATTGTAATTTTTTGTTGTTATATATATCATTTTTAGGTCAATGGCATCAACAGAAACAAAATGGTGGATGTTTATATTTTGTCCAGGGAGGTAACTGTTGGGTGCAAAAAAGAATTTTGCATAATGAAATAGATAATTATACAAGGTCATTTTAGCATGTTTAACCACAATAATTAACATTTAAAACAACAAGGAACATGTTGGTTCATCCACTAAACTAATATATATATATATATATATATATATATATATAT